AAGGCTCACTCAAACCACAGTTCACATAATGATAAACTATGGCTTGATCAAACTGGGAAGTGGTTCATTAAGCCAGGCAAGAGAAAAGGGAGCAAACAAGCACAAGGCTCATTTCCAGCCCTTCAGACCATGTTATTTTAAAATGTTGTCAGTGTGTGTTTTTAAAGAAAGAAAAGAAATATTTTGTGCATGCAGCCCCCTCCATCCATTTTTGACATACACACAAAGCTTTTAGTTGTAGCACAACCCACTATTTCAGGAAACACTCTTTTTTTCTGTCTCTGAGGCACCCTTTTAATAAATCAAAGCCCTGAAGCGTTTGTGAAAGGTTTAATTCTTGTTGATATGGTCTTGAGGTGACTGTTATTCCAATCAGCTTTGACATAGAATAAAACAGCATTTATTCGCAAAGTAATCCAAGAGCCTCTTCAGAATTCATGAGGTTTAAGGCCAAATAATTGCATTTATTGATCTTTACTGTGAAGAAAATTTCCAATCTAATGCAGACTTGTTTGGTGTTAGTGCTCAAATTAGGCCATGTCAAGAGTTGCTCTCCAACCTTGTAATTTATTTATTTTTTACTCTAGTGTGACTTGTGAGATGTTTTACTCACTATTAAAAATCATCAGTCCTGTCAGCAATTCTGTGGTATGACTCAAGGTTTTACACCATGTGGATTTGCGTTGTCAAATAGCTCCTCAGTATGTCCGGCTACACACACACACACACACACTTATATAGTCATCCACAAAATAAGTTTGCAACTTAATCCGAAGCATGCTTACTCAGAATTAACTTCCATTGATTTCAGTGTGATTTTTTTTCAAAGTAAGGAATGATTTGGATCGTGGCCCGAAATCAGCAGTCATGGATATGCCATAGCTCAGAGTCTAAATGAGCAATGGACTCCACACAATAATTTCCTGCACAGGGTACAACTGCTAGTGTGCTAGAGCCCTGATGGCCAGTTATTCCGTTAGGGGCACCTAGAAAGAGCAGCTGAGGTGTGGTGGGGATGAGTGATAGTCATCAATCTTTTCTTCAGCTTGCCTTTCCCTCTGCAACACCCTGCAGTCTAGGGTGGGCAGGCTTCCAGACACATTGCATGTGAGCACTGGGCTTTAGGATGTGTAGTTTCACTGCTGTTGTTGAACAGGATGAAATCAGTGAGTGCTGATGCCCATGGCATACATTAGTTGTTGGGACACAGTTTCACTTCATCCCCAAGAGCAGGGGTCAGCAACCTTTTTCAACCATGGGCTGGTCCACTGTCCCTCAGACTACGTGGTAGGCCGGACTATATTTTGAAAAAAATATATGAATGAATTCCTATGCCCCACAAATAACCCAGAGATGCATTTTAAATAAAAGCACACATTCTACTCACATAAAAACATGCTGATTCCCAGACCGTCTGCAGGCCAGATTTAGAAGACGATTGGGCTGCATCTGGGCCTTAAGTTGCCTACCCGTGCCTAAGAGTAATGGCAAAGACTCCAAAGTCAGGTGGGGATATTAAAGAGATACAGAACAAGAAGTGTGATAACCTGCAAGGTCAGGCAGTGGCGTAGCGTGGGGGGTGCAGGGGGGGCCAGCCGCACCAGGCGCAACATCTGGGGGGGGGCGCGCTCGCACTCGCAGCTCTCTGCCCCTACTAAAATCCACGGGTTAGGGGGCGCAAATTACTTGCCTTGCCCTGGGTGCTGACAACCCACGCTACGCCACTGAGGTCAGGGATAAAGTGGAAGTTACAAAGGAGCTCCAGCAACAGAGCTTACAGCCATGTCCTCATGTCTGCTAGATGGAGAGGTCTCCACAAGTCCTTTTGTTCACTGCAGTGTGTTGCTGGTGCCAACATGGTCTCTCCCCTTTTCTTCCACTGTTGGTATTTGGAACTGAAGTTATGCTAGCTGGGCGCTCGCAAAAAGCGCTTGATACATCTGATAGGTGCTTAATGTATGTTGTTCAGCAAAGCGTTCCTTCCTTCCATCCTTCCTTCCTTCCTTCAGTAATGTACTGCATTCATTTAAGATTAGCAGTTTGTCATAATACTGTTTCCCCCTTCATTCTGAAGGATCCCTTTGAGGTCCAGTTCACATGCACCTGCAATGATGCGACTGCTACCAAAACCTGCTTTGGCGAAGTGCTGTAAAGGTATAAATGGTTTGCTACATTCCTCCACTGAATCAAGTGGAAGGCTTCACATTTGTCACATATTGCTGGGCAGCTGCTTCCAGCGTGGGAATATTTCATGTGATGGTAAATAGTTCCTACAATCCTGCCTGCAGCAGGTGGTACAGACCATGCCGAAAAGGGTTTGGGCAGCAAATATGCTTCTTTATGTATATAGCTTAGCTACAGTGATCCATCATCCACTACCGCCATCATTTATACTGCTTAATTTCCAGAGTGGCTTCTTTTATTACAAGAATAAAACCACACACACACACACACAATTTAAATACAGAATAAAGCAATCCCATCGAAATGTTAAAATAAACATCCACAGTGAAAATGTACAATAAGGCAACACCAATAAAATAGCATGACAATTAAAACAGTTAAGACAACAATTAAAACAGGAGGTTCAAGTCAGATCAAGGGAATGTTTGTCTAAAGCTGGACTGTCAGATTGCCAATGCTGATGAGGCCTCTCATATTTCAACCGTGAGAGCAGTCCACAACGCTGGTTCTACCCGTGAAGCCCACCTCTGTGTTACCACAAGCCAAAAATCATCAGACCAAGACAAAACCAACCAGGTTCCATTGCTGATTTATGTCCATACCAGGCATAGGAGGGGGAAATGGTCTTCCAGCTAACTTGGTCCAGAGTTGTTTTGGGATTTATATGTAAGTTAAGCCACAGAGCCTAGGACTTGCCGATCAGAAGGTCGGTGGTTCGAATTGCCGCAAAGCCATTTCCGACCTAGGAGGAGAGGGGGTTGCGGGCGACCCCCTCCCACACACGCGGGGGCTGGCCTTAGCCCCCGCGAGATCAGGGGAATCCCCGGGCGTGCCTGCAACCCGGCCCGCCAATCGGCGGGCTGGGGAGGCGTGGCCTAGCCTACTTAAGGCCAGGCACGCCCGGGGACCGCCCTCTTTCCCCTCGCCAGCTGGAGCAAGTTTTTTCTACCTCGCCGGAGTCCCAGCCTTGCGCTTGCCAGCAGCGTTCAGGAAGCCCGCGTGTGAGCCAAGAGCCGAGCCAACAAAGAGAGCCGAAGCAGCGACATGAGAAGAGAGCTGAAATCACTAAATTTTATCCGTCGCTATTTTGCTGCTTTGGATCCCCGGTTCCGGTCGCGCTTTTGGTCGCGGGGGCCGCGCGGCTTCGCGGGTTGTGCTCGGTTCTCGGCTGGCGTCGGACCTCATTTCACAGGATTTCAGCCAGCTTTTGCTGCAGTGTTCTCGCTTTCCAACTGAGGTTGCCGGGACGGCAGGACGCGGCGCGGAAGGACGGGAAGAGCGAGGTTTGGCTGTGGGGTCTTCCTTTGTTTGCTCTTTTGTCGGCTGATTTACTAGTACTTGTGCGGCGTTTATTATCTCTGTTGGTTTTGTGGCTGCCGTTCCTATTCTTGGTGTGTAGCGGCGGCTTCCTTGCACGGAAGCGTCCTTTGTTACCAGGGTAACGGCCATTTCCCATCGCCTCCTAGCTGACCACGTGGTCGGGGATCGCTTGCGTCCGCCATTTTAAGCGAGGCATTAAGCCTTTACAGCCCGTTAGCGCCTATAGGCAGGGGGAGGAGCAAGAGCGGTTGTCGGACGCCATCTTGGTAGGGTCCACGTGCGTTAGCTCAGGCAGCCATCTTGGGTAGGGAGCGGAAACACTTTCAAGGTATCTGCGCGCCTTTCACTAGCGGCGCAGCAGTAACTGGTGCAGCTTCCCAGCCTGATTTTATTTTAGCCTGCTTCAGAGGGGTAGAGAGGTTGCCCGCTGCCTTAATTGAAGGTCTGCTTCACGTTGAGAGTTGTAGTGACTTTAAGGGCTAACTTTGCTCTGGTCTTCCTGGGTTTTCGGTTGCTTTTCTTATAGCTTAAGGGGCTCTGGGGGAGCCGGCAACTAATACCTACTGCGTCCACGGTGACAGGGGAGCTTTTCGGGCGGCCTGAATCTAATAAACACTGGAAGGGGCTTTTGGCTGCATCAGTGGCTCTGCTGAACCCAGTGATAGCATTTCTTTTGCCTTAATTGTTTTGGTTGCATTTGTCTATAATACATCCGTTGAATAATAAGGGTAGTTTTATTGGATATTCAGATTTAAATATATTACAATAATATTAATTGTTATAATACTAAGTTAATAGAATATATATATTATATATATATAACATATATATATAACAACATAGATACATATACATAGCGTTTAGTACATATATTGGACCTACAGTAAAAAAAAAAAAAAAAAGGGGAGAGGAAATTAAATTTAATTGGGCAGCAATCTTCTATAGCCCCCTTCCCGTCCAGCAATCGGAGCCTCACGCAATTGGCTCTGTCATACATACATTCTAGTGCGCTGCAGTTATTTTGTTATTCTCGGCACATAAGCCAATAAATAATTAAGAGAATAAACAACAAAATAAATAAATAAATAAATAAATAAATAAATAAACAGTCAGTGAAGTGTAGACGATACTGAACTAGACAGTGTTGAGCCATTAAGGGTAGACAATACTGAGCTAGACAGAACCCCTTGGCGGTACGTTGCTTTGGAGTGGGTCCATTTGTTGGGAAGTACTTTGAGATTGCTCTGGTCTCGTATATAGTTTGTCATGGCTTCTGGTGGGGACCAACAGGCGTCCACATCTGGTAATCAAATGGCACCGGGCGCAAGTAATGGTAGCGCACAAATGGGGGCCATGCCTTGTGACCCACAAGCTTTCGCTCAATTCTTCTGGGCGTTCGAAACCTTTTATAGACAATGTAGGCCTGGGGCGCTAGCACATCCCGCCCCGGAACCTTCGCAGGAGGTAATACCCGACACCCCCCCCTAACAATCAAGGGCGGCAGGGAATTCCAGCCGCCGTGGGAGGCTGCGCCCAGTCGGAAACCTCGAATGCAGGGCATCCTAATACTCGTGCCCAGGCAGCCATTACTAGGAGGGCCAACCAAGGCGCCGGAGTGGGTAAGGCATCGGCAAAAGGGTCCGGCAAGGGGAAGGCCACTGCCAAAGGGACAAGTAGCAATGCCTTTTCACAAGTGGTAGACATTCCTAGTGTGTTTCAGGAACAGCAGCGCCAGCACAGCTCTACCGAGGATAGTGCGGGTTCCGGCTTGGAAGAGGAGCACAGGGAGCCTCAAATTGCTCAGCCAGTAACCAGCGCAATCCCGGCCAACATAGAGGTGCAGGGTGGAAAAAGGAAATCAAAGAAGAAGCACACGTCTGCTAAGAAGAAGAGAAGCAAGCAGTCCGAGACGGAGGACGATTCAGGTACGTCATCTTCTGATTCGGATAGTGAGGGCCCCATGGATGGTTACTGGGGTTTAGGTGAAGGGAATCACAGTGATGGTCTTCCAGCTAACTTGGTCCAGAGTTGTTTTGGGATTTATATGTAAGTTAAGCCACAGAGCCTAGGACTTGCCGATCAGAAGGTCGGTGGTTCGAATTGCCGCAACGGGGTGAGCTCCCATTGCTTGGTCCCTGCTCCTGCCCACCTAGCAGTTCGAAAGCACGTCAAAGTGCAAGTAGATAAATAGGTACCGCTCTGGTGGGAAGGTAAACAGCGTTTCCGTGTGCTGCTCTGGTGAAGCGGCTTAGTCATGCTGGCCACATGACCCTCCAAAGCAGCCATAAGGAAAGCCTCATTTGTACTTCACACCAATATACAGCCCAACACATAGCTCTCCTTCAAAACCCACAATTCTCCAGATTTTATCATACTGTTGTCCTCTAACCAAAAATGTATACCTTATATTAGGATAAGGTTTGCATTAAAAATGCATATATGAATGAAAAATACATTACATTGGAGGGGGGATGCTTGCAAACATGTGCATATTAGTCAAAACTGCATACAATAATGTGTTTATCGGGAGAAATTCACACCAAAAGCCTAACAAATTATGACAAGGACCTTAAAATAATCAGATATTGCTGCAGAAATGTGAAAAGCCAAACTGAAGACTGGAAAAATGAGAAACTAATAGAAATGAAAATTGACATGTTTGCCTATCCCTAGAGATGAACCATGCAGGTAGGAAAGGAATCGCTGTAAAACAATATCTCCAGCCCCCAACCCACAAAGATGGGGCAGGGCAGAAGGAGAGAAGTGACCAGAGGGCACTTGCTCAAAAAATCAAATATGCCTACTGGCCTAAAGAGGTTGGCAACCCCTGCCCTATATACCAACAGACCAAAGGTCTGGTAACAGTAGAAGAGGTTTTTATGCGTGGAACACATCCTGATGCTCCTTAATTGAAAGCAGTGCTGAGTATTGGCAGAGAGAAAGCATGCTTCCACTCTAGGCAGCGATTTATGCCAAGAGGAAGGTTTGTGCGGCATCCTGACATCTGCTTCCTTTTGATTGACAGCCGGCATGTTGGGAACATCTGAGGCTTGTCCATTACATGTGCAGCTGTGTAAGGTACATACAGCACCTCAGGCTAATGAAAGTGTAGGGGACTTGTTTAAATGTCTCCTGTAACACTCAGTGACAGGCATATCAGCCTATATGTGTCTGCCTTACCTTCTACATTCTGCTTGGCATTCAGCTGTCGTCTTGACAGGCAGTTCTGCATCCCTGCTCAAGCTGATCAAATGGGAAAAGCAACAAAAACAAGAGGGCTGTATGAATGCTACTTCTCACGTGGCTCTGTCCCAGTAGGCCAGGCTTGATGCTCCCTACATTTTTGTCTGACATTCAGTTCTGTTAAAGGCATTGGAGCCCTGTTGGGAAAAGGCGGCAACCCTAAATATGGTGGGCGAGAGCATGGGGTTAGGGAGGGAAAGAAGGGAACCACGTGGGGGGCTTCGTCCTTCAACTAGCTCTGGAGCAGCATGAGGAACACTTGTGCCCCTCAGCCTAATTTCATGTAGGTGAGGAGAGGCCAGAGGGAAAGAGAAAGGGGGGGGGCATAAAAGCCAGAAATCAAAATGTAAACATGAGGAAGGCGGGTCTGAATACTCAATCCCTTCCCTTGTTGTGAAGAGGGGTAAGTGGCAGGTGTGAGGGAGGCAGAGAATGCACCAGTCGCAGATAGTTTTCAAGTTCCTTTAGCCAGCATACATTGGTCTGTCCCTTGACAGACAGTACAGGTTGTACTTCCAACTAAATCTGACCACCTGTTTCTTCATATAGGGTTCACTGCTAAGCAGGCACTGAAAGTTGATGAAGACCTTGGATTAGTCTTCTGGAGAGGCTAGGATCTCTCCAGAATCTTCTACCTGGCCCTCTGTCAGGCCCTGTGTGGCTGAATTCAAATTTGTGAGACTCCCGACCCATTGGATTGCCTCCAGTTGGCAGCACAAGGTAAACTAAGTCCGCCGTCTTCAGTGAGCACTCAGCAAAATCCCCTCTGTGTATCCAAGTGAGCAATCATCTTTTCTTCAAAAGCCAAAACCAAACCCTGAAAACCACAGTTAAGTAGAGCAGAACTCTTTCCTCTTTCAATCTCCCATCACCCTTGTGTGGAGATGGGACAGAATTTTAAGCAGAATGGGAAGAAAGGCCTGCCTTGCCAGCGGTGAAAAGAGTTGGATAAGGCCAGTGCACTTTACAGAGCAATTCCGTACGCTGATGTATATGCACTCGTCCTGATGGGAGATATTTGGTAAAGGAAAGAGATAGGAGATGGAAAGGAGATGGGAGATGGTTTTGCTCCTTGTTCCCCAAATGTGAGAGGAATAGCTTTAGAGAAGGGGGTATTGGGTCAGTTTTCTTAAATGATTAATGCAGTTATTCATTCTGCTAGGGTCTGGAGCAATGTTACACCCTTCAGTGTTCTTTGTTCATTTATCACATGACAAGAGAGCATTTGTGCAGAGCCCTGTACCTAAAGTTTTCTTTGGAAGTATTTACCCATGAAGGAATGAAATGGTCCCACCATTTAGTGTTTAGTTTGATTATTGTAAAATGGTTGCTTTTTGTTGTAGAGGCTCTTCTGTACAGGAGGAACAAAAGTTCACAGAAAGGTTAGAGGTAAAAAAAGGAAAGTTCTGCACAGGAGGGTCAAAACTACAAGGGGATCATTGCTTAACAATCTGGCGCGTGTTTACTTGACCCTTTCTCTTCCTCACTTATTGAATTTAAGAGGGGGTGGTTGTGGCCACTACTAAATAAGGCTTTTAAAGCCCTCACAACTTCTCCTGCTACCTATCAACTGCAAATTTTCCATTTTTGGATGAGGAACTCAAATAGGTCAGGCAACTCAAGCATCAGTTGGATGACACTGATTATCTGGATCCATTTCAGACTGGGATTTGGCAAAGAAAGTTTTGGTCACCCTGATGGCAGGAGAAGGAAAGGGAGAGTCCATTTTCATGGACTACTTATTAGCTTTGCTGTCCTTCTGGGTTAGCTATTTGGGATGGGTACTGGAGACCTCATCCAGTGGTTCTTTTTATGAAAGCTCCATGAAAGCTATGATATGGCATACCACAGGGATCCATTTTGTTCCCATCCTGTTCAATATCTACGTGACACTGTTGGTTACATTCGACACCTTTTCATCAAATACAGGTGAATCCTCACTACTCAGTGGAAGAGAAAATTCCACCCCCACCAATATGTCAGTTAAAATGCCATGATGCAGTTTCGTTCCTATGGGGGTATTCTGTCTCAAATTATTAGGGTGATAATGTAAGGCTATTGCGGGCAACCAAGGCAGTAACAAAAAACCCCCAAAGTTCTTCAAATCACCCATCTCTTGGAAGCAGTCCTTATCCATTTTTTCCTATCTTAATGAAAACTCATATAAAAGTCTGAATCAGTTCAGCCTTAATCTTTGCCAGTTTTTCAGTCTCCTTACTCACAATGCTTGTGAATCTCTTTAGGAGGTACCAGGCCTGAGGATTCATCCCTGCTTAACTTCCAGGGGTAAACTTCAGCATTCTTCCAGCTTGAAAATTAAACATTCGGACGCTGGTGGCTGTTCCTCTGACACTTTCTGTTAATGATGAAGAATTACCTATTACACTAGCAATGGGCTGGTTTGACAATTCCATTACGTATTACTAATAGTGCTATTAATGCATGGTAGCTTATCATTACAGTAGGATGTGTGCATGTGTCCAAATGCTTTGGAGTCTGGAGAAAGTGGGACAAGAGGCAAAAGCACACATTGGTGTTTGTGGAAGATGACAGCCTCTGGATTCAGGACTTCTTACCGTCCAAGAGAAAAATAGATTTGACACAGGATACACCTGGGTAGCGTTAGACTCTGGGATATTTATTTATTTATTTTTTTAGAGTCCTGCATTAGCAGTATAGGAAGAAGCAGACCGAGAACATAGAGGTTGATAATTTTATTTATGAAGTGTCATTTTGGGGGAGTGCTCAACAGAGGTCTCCAAGAGTTCATTGTATCGGAAGATTAGGGAAATTGATTATTATCATCGCTTCTGCCCAATACATCATTTCTGTCCATCTCACCTTCCTTCTTCCATGTTGGTCCTGAGCCAGAAGAAATCACGTAATGTGGATTTATCTACTGGATTCCAGATGTGTTCAGTGGTGCCTGAACTTATCAGCAGGCTTGCTGCTTCTTCCACATAAAATAAATAGCTTGTTTTCAGCATGCGATGTGATGGACTTCCAAGACAACACCTACTCCATTAGGTTTAGGTTCACCAAGTGATAGATGGCCATAGCTGAAAGGAATGTGAAATGTGGGGTTTGGGCTTTTGAGAACTCCAAACAATGAACTTGTGGGAAATTGCAGACAAAATCTTAGGTCCAGTTAATGCATGAAGGGGTTAAGACACAGAATTGTATTCCTAGACTTAGTTAGGTCATGTCTCCCAACTCCAATGAAGGAGGAAGTGAAGCTTCTTTTTTCATTCTCTTTCACCATGTGAAAGCTGACCAGGCAACACATCTGGGCTTTGATCAGTTCAAGCTTAGACTGCATGCTCATGGGTTTTTGGGTTTTTGGAAGACGCATGTGCGTGAATTTGTTTTATGTGTGTAGATCAGTGCACGCTGACCAACGCACAGTCTTCGCAGTAGGGCTCTGTTCTGATGGCATGAAGTAGTCATGACAAATGGTAGATTCCTATCTGCTGCAGCCTTCATCCACCTTCACAGCCGTTGTAACATACCACTTGTTATCATTCGCCTGTTCTGCCATTGAGGACTTCTTGGATCATTCTTTGTCTGGCTCCTTCCCTTTGACCTTACCTCCTTGGGTGACCCTGCTGGGAGTATGAGATTCCCGACGGCTTCGCTCACAAGGGTCATAGGAACATGCAAGCCCACTCACCACGACAAGGTG